ATTTGAACCTGACGCTTTTATTCTGTTGTATTCACATTAACTGACATAAACCGATGATCAGCGGCATAACTTGCTACACACCACTTTGAACAACGGCTTTGGACCCGATGAGATATGGCCGCACAGGCCTAGGAACTGATGAGATATGGCACAGATATCAACACCATGGTGTTGATATGGTGAGTTATGAGATATCAACACCATGTTGTTGAAAAAAGTTTGGGTCTATATCTGTGTAGCTAGGGACGGAAAACAAATACGTAAGGCCGATGAAAACATTTTATTCACGCATTCAATGGTCCAGAGTCCCGGCTGTTTTCGAGGTCACGGTCACAGTTCTTGGCACCCGATAGCGTCCGGTCACCCGACATGTCGTGGCGTGACGCCCCGCGTGCCCCGCCAATGTTCAAATCAGACTTGCAACCGATCTAGAAGAGATGCCGTGGATGTACTTGTTCAGTCTGAACGGCAACAACTTTGCTCTCATTGGCATATTGTTTAAAGCAAATCAAATTTCTCACGCTTCTTAGAAAATGAAGCTAAAGATCAAACTAGGTCATCGTATGTACATAATTCACCTTAAGCGTGGTTTTAACTCACGTTTTAGAAGTACATACTATCAAGCTTTTCGATGCACTTTTCTCAGCCTTATGCTCTGCAAAATATTTTCGCTGGAGCAAGTTAAAAAGTTGGATTAGCAACGTGATTGCGTATTTTCATCTGCTACTATTCCCTCATCGAAACGCCGTATGTCTCTTAAACTTGAAGAATGGTGTTTTGGCCGTACAACCACTTCATAGACCCGTCCTCGCCCAATGTAGGAGGGGGGGGGGAGGGGTGTCTTATTAAAATGCATCTATCCGCGGTCAGCTTTTATGGAAAAGCCCATGACACCTTCAGCGATGTAATTAGAACATCGTGAAGTGACATCTTCCATCACTACCTTAAACATCCATCTGACTTTGCAATAAATACAACATAACTCTGAATTTGGTTTGGCCGTTATCATGCAGCCATCTGGAGCCATGCACCTGCACCATGTGTAGTTACACGTCACAGAGCCCGGTATTAGTCCTTTGTGAGAAATGGCTGCCCAGCGATCAAACCGAGAGCCGGCTGTTCGGTATTGGTGGTCTCAAACCGACATGGAGGCACTCATTGTTGTTGATGCCTTCAGCGGCAGTGCGATCGAGGAGGACGATATTCGATATATTAGACCGATATATTAGACCTCTGACTGATGTTCTGGACCATTGGCCCTGTCCCTGTGTCACAGATTGGATTGGGCCCTGACTAACACAGGCCAGTCAGGGCCCTGACTAACCTGCACTGACTCACCACATCAGGGCCCCTGATCGACAGAAGGCCTCTTATTAGAGCAGGGGTCTCGTAGTGACGAGAAAGATTCTTCCCATGACTGAGATTCGAAGTCGGCCCCCATCCAGATACAGGGCACCCAACCCCGTACCCTCTCAGGCTCCCATGTCCCACCAGTGAGACCAGTCAGCCTCCAGCCTAATACAGGGCACCCAACTCCGTACCCTCTAGGGTCCCAAGCCCCATCCCTCCAACGGGACAGTCAGCCTCCATCCTAATCAGAGTACCCAGCCCCATCCCCAAACCGCTGCCCCCAAACTCATGCACACCTCCTCGCTCCTAATGTCTTTCTAGCCCCTTTCCCCACCGACCCAGCCCAACTCGTTCGCAGCGCGAAGGGCGCTGGAGACGTCAGCACCTCGGTCTGGGTGCTGCGCATGAAAAGTGATTGGAATGGCTCGCAGTTGAGACAGAAGACGGAAGTCGCGTGGCTGGGAGTAAAGTGGTCTGAATTACGAAATTCGTCCGTCGGTGTAGGAGTCTATGACTTTTCGAGCAGGGCGAGGGAGGCGCTAAAGACTGCCAAAAGTCCTTAAAGTCTGCGATGGCTCATGTGAACGTTATGTAAAGCGCATGAAGTGACAATTTGCGTAGACACCTGCGTATGTTTAATAAGTCTAACCGCGCAACGAAATGCGGTTAAACAACAATTTCGAGTGTTAGCCGCTTTGGAGTGGGAAAAATAACGCATTTTACGATTGGCAGAAAGTTTTAAGCCTCCTCGGAGAATGAATTTCGTATGGTTTGAGCTTAACAATGGTAAATATTGTGCTGATAACGGGTCGATCTTACTCCGAAGTAGGGTACATTGGATAATTATTAGTACAATTAGGCAAGGTGGGTCGTCCAATAAGTTAGATAATATGTGCCGTAGCTTTTTCATCATTAACTAGCATGTTCAAGATATCATACGTTTTCAGAGGCAGAAGTGGTGTAGTGGTTAGCGTGTTCGTCTCTGGACTTTATGGTCCTGGTTCGGATCGTGGACGCACCACTGCCGCGTACTACACTGCGCCTAATAAAGGCGCAATGATTGTGTGCTGTCTCAAAAAGCCTCGAATTTGCAGGGTCTCGAAATAGCCTCGGAAATCGTTGAAGTTCAAAGCCCCAGTCATTATAATCATCAAAATATTTTTATTTTGACCTTGATGACAACATCCTTCCGCTCCACCTAGCCACCGTCCATCTGGACGCCCTTTCCCAGCGCTCGGACCAACGCCGAAACTCCACTCGGAAAGCAGCCTCCGCTTTGGTCTCCACCATCCACTTCCTCACAGCGCTATTGTCCTCGGCCTCAACTTGAAAGCGGTGATCACAAAAGTACCAAGAGTGCGGTACCGAAGCTCTCTGAAGGCGTCAAAAGTGGTGGAAGTTTGATGTGCCGAGCTGAGAACTGAACGGCGGCTGAGGCATGATGGTGAGCTGAGAACTGAACGGCAGCTGAGGCATGATGGTGAGCTGAGAACTGAACGGCAGCTGAGGCATGATGGTGAGCTGAGAACTGAACGGCAGCTAAGGCATGATGGTGAGCTGAGAACTGAACGGCAGCTAAGGCAAGATGGTGAGCTGAGAACTGAACGGCAGCTGAGGCATGATGGTGAGCTGAGAACTGAACGGCAGCTGAGGCATGATAGGTGGGCTGAGAACTGAACGGCAGCTGAGGCATGATGGTGGGTTGAGAACTAAACGGCAGCTGAGGCACGATGGTGGGCTGAGAACTGAGCGGCAGCTGAGGCATGATGGCGAGCTGAGAACTGAACGCCCTGAGGCATGGTGGTCCCGCGCAGTTCCGCGAGTCCTAGGCGGCTAGTGTAACCTGTGTGGCGCCCGAAGTTCTGGCGGCTAGAAGAGATCCTGGAGGCCCGACGGATAGTTTGACCTGTGTGAGGTCAGACGTTGTGGCGGCGAGAAGAGATCCTGAAGGCACTTCATCCGCGTTTCCCCCTTGGACGGCTCCAATGAGCTTCCGCACCACCTTCATGCAGCTTCAGCTGTTGACAGTCTGTCACATTTGAGGAAATCCACCCGGAGGAAGCCATCTTTGTTCCAAAACATGGTGACCATGATCGTCCCTGCAAAAAGTTCTGAGGTTCCTTGGTGCCGGGGAACATCGGCACTCTCAGATTAATTCCCTCAGTGAGCTTTAGAAACCCGCCATGACTTCGGCATGTAGCACCGTCGTAAATTTGCGACTCTGTTCAAAGTGACACTTAACAGAGCTAGGCAATTTCGTGCCTTTCTGTAGGCGTTCGTGCCGTAAAGCACTAACAACATAAACAATAAACAGACTCCCTTTACAACGGCCTCGCAGGGTGCTCCTGAGGCCCTTTGTCGGTTTCCAAACCTGCTGGACCGGTGGGATAACCGAACATTTAATTTGACCCAGGTCGGTTACGAAGCAGGCCTTGACCTTGTCGGTGGTGGTGACACGTTTTAGCATTGTGCTTGTATCTGACAGTTAAATTAACGAGGAGAACACATTCCTCAATGTTTCACGTTAATAAATGTGATGGTGTTGTGCTAATACATCCCATTTAATATATCCTACGCCATGCTAATGCACTTCAGCTAACATGAGTGACAGCCTCAGACCAAAACCCTGTACGGTTCAACAATTTCCGATCCATAATTTCCCGTGCATATATTCCTCTAACGCTGAAGAGTATTTCACTGAATACAGAACTGACACATGGAACCATTTCAAATGAAACTAGAGACTGGAAAGAGACGAGCGCCTCATCCCAGCGACAAACAAACAGGTCCCCGGACATGCTCCTGAAGCTAAGTCGAGTCGACAGCGATCAGGTTTATTCCATATCGGTATGTTCGGGATCGGACCACGGGGCTGACGGTGGCTGACCGGCTGGCAGGTCGCTCCACCCCCGCAGGCGGCTTATCACATCACGCCGAAACACGCACCATCACGTCGATCATGTTTTTATGTCTCGATGTTGCCGTTCTGCTTGCTTTTAAGTGATGAGCTTTCCGCCTCCGATGCCGATGTGTCCCCGCTGCCAGCCTTAAGTGCAGCGAGTGGGACAGGCTGCTCCCTGGAGTGTCCGTGTGCTTTTATGCTTTCGCGTTTGATGACAAAATAGGTCTGCCTCGACACTCCACGCAGTGACCGGAGGCAAATATATGGATGTTAAATATTGTTTTGACAAAGCTTTAGAACTATAATATCACCACTCGGGTAAGTCACACCACCACTTTCAATGCCAACGTTTTCTCCCACAGCGATATAAACAAACCTTAATCAGATGCGATGAAAAGGTGATCTTGCATTCGAGCTAAGACACGTCAAAGAGATTTATAGTGCAATTCACCGAAATCAGACAAAAATGGTCTGAATCACATGTCAAGTTGGAAACCAAGTCATCCCAACAGCCATGCATATGTAGTGGCCAGGCGCAGGCAAAGCGAGCTTAGTTCCCCACCGCGGTATTTCGGCCTGGGGGCGGGTCTGGCCGGCATCGGTGCCGGCTGCAGAACCGGCCGCCTCCTCGCCGCCTCGCGCTCTCCGCGCTGGGGAGACGCGAGTTCGACCCAAGTTCGTTCGTTAGACTCTACCAGCCGTCAATAACACCTCTTGTGGGCTTATGGGCTGCCGCCTCCGCTTTCAGCGCCCGAAGTTCAGACCACCTCGCAGTGCAGTCTGCTCAGCGACATGTTCTCGCTGGGCATGGTCATCTGCGCCGTCTTCAACAAGGGCAAGTCGCTGATCGAGGCCAACCACAGCAACACCACCTACATGAAGCAGTTCGAGCTGGTGAGATGCCGTGAATCCTGTGGCAGTGTCGAGCTGGTGAGATTCCGTGGACCCGTGAGAGTGTCGAGATGGTGAGATGACATGGACCCGTGGCAGTGTTGAGCCAGTGAGATGCCGTGGACCCGTGGCAATGTTGAGCTAGTGAGATGACATGGACGCGTGACAGTGTTGAGCTGGTGAGATTCCGTGGACCCGTGACAGTGTTGAGCTGGTGAGACTCCGTGGACCCGTGACAGTGTTGAGCTAGTGAGATGGCATGAACCCGTGGCAGTATCGATCTGGTGAGATTCCGTGGATCCGTGGCAGTGTCGAGCTGGTAGGATGCCGTGGACCCGTGGCAATGTTGAGCCGGTGAGATGCCGTGGACCCGTGATAGTGTTGAGCTGGTGAAATGACGTGGATCTATGGCAGTGTCGGGAAGGTTCCGTGGACCCTTGGCATTGTTGAGCTGGTGGGATTCCGTGAACCCGTGACAGTGTCGAGCTGGTGAGATGCCGTGGCCCCGTGGCAGTAGTCGAGCTGGTGAGATGCCGTGGACCCGTGGCAGTGTCGAGCTGGTGAGATTCCGTGGATCCGTGGCAGTGTCGAGCTGGTAGGGTGCCGTGGACCCGTGGCAGTGTCGAACTGGTGAAATTCCGTGGACCCGTGACAGTGTTGAGCTAATGAGATGACATGGACCCGTGACAGTGTCGAGCTGGTGGGATGCCGTGGACCCGCTGACAGTGTTGAGCTAGTGAGATGCCGTGGATCCGTGGCAGTGTCGAGCTGGTGAGATGCCGTGGACCCGTGGCAGTGTCGAGCTGGTGGGATGCCGTGGACCCGTGACAGTGTTGAGCTAGTGAGATGCCGTGGACCCGTGACAGTGTTGAGCTAGTGAGATGACATGGACCCGTGACAGTGTTGAGCTGGTGAGACTCCGTGGACCCGTGGCAGTGTCGAGCTGGTGAGATTCCTGTGGACCCGTGGCAGTGTCGAGCTGGTGAGATTCCGTGGACCCGTGGCAGTGTTGAGCTCGGGGCTCCGTGGCTACCCCGCCGTGAAATGAATGTGCTGTGAATCTTCCGCGTTGATAGTGCTTTGCGGCATCTAATCTTAGTGGCATAGATAAAGCTTTATGAACGAAAAACCAGAAAGTTTGTTTTCGGTGATGTTTTTGACAACTTTTGCCGTGATGTTTAGGGTATGGTTGCTGAAATATGGAGGTGCCATTGAAAGAGAACGCTGTTTCAGAACCACGCTTCTGGCAAAAGAAAACGCTGCACACATTCTAACGGTGTCATGGCCGAAGGGCTCGCGCCACCAGTGTGTGACCGCAGGCTCACTGTTTTGTTTTCATCAGCTGCACCCCGTTATCCTCTTCACGCAAGACTCGCTATGCCGTACGCTTCACCGCGTTGGCGTTGTGCCGCCGCCATGCCACCAGTAACATTCGGTCGCGAGCCGTCTCGGCTCCCAGGCCTTCTTCGAAACACTCGCCTCGCCCCATATATATATATATATATATATATATATATATATATATATATATATATATATATATATATTGAAATATATATTATATATATATGTGTATATATATATATTTATATATATATATATATGAAGAAGAGAATATATATTTATATATGGAGATATATACGTGTATACGGAAAGGATATATATACATATGTATATGTATATATATATATGTATATATATATATATATATATATATATATATATATATATAATCCTAGCTTCCAGCTGCCGGTGGCCCAAATAATCAATCAGTCAGTCAGGAGAGACGGTTAGCTTCTGCGTGAATGGACTGAGCTGGCTCCAGCATTAGATACACTTTCACTCGACTCTGGTTATTCCCGCAGTAAACCAGCCGTCGGAGCAACCGGCCAGACCTATCAGCCGTTGGAATCATGACGAAGACGATAAATCGCTTTGTTTTTTCACCTTTCGCTGCACGATGGCCATCGCTTTGAAACGTTAAGGTCGGGAGATCATAAAAGTTGGAAAAAACACCTTTCGGTGTAACACTTTAATGCCGTTTTAAACTTGCTGGAAGCCCGGTATTCCAATTGCTGCGGTATGGAGCATCAGTTGCCACTAAAACCGTAAAGCGGTGGGACCCGATAATGCATTAAGTGCAATGTGATCGGCATCGAGGACAGGTGCTAAGAATACCTGTATTACCAACAACTTCAGATTGTGGGGTTCTGCGAAGTACAGTCACTACAGACATTGGTAGGTGGCTTACAGCTGCAGGTTGACATGTGTATGGATCCCATGGCAAGATTCAGGATCTCATATGGTCCCATGTTGATGGGACCCTAGAATAGAATCCTGAGATGTCTGTGGTGTGGACACGTGCCTGGTTGCAAGCCATATATATCCAGGAGTTGAGCACCCCAAATAAATCATTCCGAATCTTCTGAGACTTATATTTCTGATCTGGCTTTCAATATTCGTGAGCGCATCTATCCAAATGGGTCGATGGTATATGATGGAATGCCTCAGGAATTATGCAGGTGTACCAGATAGCCATTAGACATGTAAACTGAAGCCGGTACCTGAGAGTTCAGTTAAGTTGGAGCAAGTTGTGCTTTGCTTAGACATTCCTCTTGACTTGGCACATGCACGGCTCCTGCCTACTCGGGCCGGTGGCAGGCTATTCAACATTGCTATGGCGTGAAGGAGGCGCCACAGAGCTACAGCGCTGAGCGATTTGAGGCAATGCTTCGCTGGTGCTCGTATGCAGTCTCAATGATGTAGTGTTCTACGCTTGATGTTGTGATGCATGGAGGCAGTGCATTTTCCAAAGCCTAACGACATCTCTGAGTAGCGAGCCTTCGAGCGTGCCCTATCAGTCAAGCACGAGGAAGCGGAAATGAACATCACCTGCCGAATTACTTTCACATTCAGCTGGGAACGATGGCTGAAGTGGACCCTGGAGTGAGCGTAATGGGTTCTGCTTCTTGAGTGAAAACCGCATGATATTTCCCGGGAGGGTTGATCGCCGCTCTCGGCCCGCTCAAACTCGGCGCATAGATTTCGAGCCGGTCGATCCGGGCCTATCCGAACAGGCCTCAGTCTGGCCGAGTTCTTTGTCGGGCCGTTGCAAATCGTCTTCGCCGCAGAAAATCACGAGGCAATATCGAGGTCTGCTTAAAATTCATGACGGTTTACAGAGCTGAAAGGCTCTCAGCTGCATCAGGCGTCGGAATTCCGGGCTACGCAGCTTACTGACGATCAATGATTCAAAAGGAGTGCAAAGGCCTTTATTTACTAGACATTGCGACCAAAATTGATTGACAGTAAAGTCGAGATGGCCTTTGGTAGGACGCAAATTTTTATTGAGTCGGACCCATGGAAGTAAACGCATTGTTTTGAAGAAGCTTCACTTGCCGATGGTAATATTATTCAACGAATATTTTTTTCTTTTAACCGTGAGGCAATACTTGAGAGAGTAGCCACACGAAATTGGGATTCCATTGAGGTCACTTATGCATGCAACAATAATCAATCGATGATTTATCCCTAAAATTTCAACCCGAAGTCCATACGGCTATTGAATGAGATCGTCTCTTTGGATATCTGATACAATTAGTCGCATCCTGTTGACAGTTCGCAGTTAACCACTACCACCTCAAAAGGTGATAATCTAAGCCCTTAAGCTATTAATTGTTTTTATTCTTGTTTATTCCGGTCATCGCCGAAAGAAGCCTCTCCACTTACGGCCGAAATGAGATCGATTAATGAAGACATAAACATAAACACAATCTGTATAGAGTGCACTCACGAGACATACTTCTGAGATAACAATCGTTAAAGTTCATCACATTGAGGTTATATATCTGATCACATGAGGGGCCAAATGGGGGGGGGGGGGGGGGGTAGCAGAAGCCTCTGCTCAAAGCGATGTCTGCGCCTGGGAGCCCCCATTCCCTGGCGTGCGCGTCTGTTTCACCCCTGATTCCTGCCTTCGCTGCAGCTGAGCGAGCAGTTGAAGAACGTGTTGGGTCTGATCCCGGTGGCGCTACAGGAAGCAGTTGTGCGTCTGCTGAACAGGGACCCGCGCCAGCGGCCCACCGCCCAACTGCTGTCGCTCATCAAGTACTTCAGGTCAGTGGCAAGTGCGTGGGATCTGTGTCAGCTACTTGGGGTCGCTGCGGACCACTTCAGGTCAGTGTCAACTTCCTCAGGGCTGCGCCAGCAGACGGGGCGGCGCGGGGTACGGCGCCAAATTGCTTATACTGCGTTGGGATTTGCTCACACGGGCAGAAAGTGGGAAACATTGGTGGAACATTGCTTCTCGCTGTGGTACATTCCCCCCCCCCCCCCTGCCCTCCCCGGTGTTGGTCTGGGTTTGCTCGATGTGCAGTCAAAGTCACTGAAACGTTGCTAAACGTGTAACAGAACAGGCAAATATTAGTTTTTGCAAGGCCTGCCCTTACATCGGCGATATCTTCCAGTAGTGAAAGTACCACGTACTGTCGGAATAAGAAAAGAACGCCGAATACTCATTGCAATTCTCCTAGAGACCATGAGGAACGCCTGAAGGGAATTCAGACGAAGGTGAAAACCACTCGAGCTGCCTGCGGGCCGACTGTGCTTTCACAGCCGCGAGAGCGATCGATACGGAGCGGAAGTCAACCGTACAGCATACGAATGTCGAATGACAAGAACAATAAATCGACGGCATGTGTCGCGCAATAAGACGACGTAAAGATTCCGAGGTTATTCCTCCAGGAAACAACTAACCAACTACCGTTCAATCTCATATCTGTCTTAAATTAGTCCCCAACTCCGACAGAGCAGGTCGATGCAGGCATCCCTTCATACCTGGCTTCCCCGAGCCGTAGGCGTAGGCGGAGGAAGAAGCGGGCAGCGATGTGAACCATGGTCGCACACGTTGGTGTGACGGTGGTTGGTGTGACCGGCTTGGTTCGCAGGATTAGCATTGTTTCACAAACTGAGGCACAACGTCGGCGGTGGCAATGGCGGCTGGGATATCCGCTTCCATGACCGCCACGAATCCGAGGCAGCTGGTCCCCACGCCGGTTCATTCTGACGTCCCCGATCGTTTGATTTGCGCGGTGGGACTTTAATGTATCTACTCATGAAATGTCGAATGGTACATTAATTCATTATGATCGAGCATCTGTTCGATCTGAGCAATCGCCGGAAGTGAAAGCATTGATTAACCATCCTTTGGATTCATTTGCCAATTGAGGTCATTTTGGCATCGGCAAACATTGTTCTGGAACGGGATAACCCCGTTTGAGAACTGAAACGGAGATTCAAGCTGCTATAACCGGGTGTGCTGCTCAGAATAAACAATCTTGCGATTGTGCAGCATCTTATTTAACATCAATCGTGTCTGCACGATCCTGCCTTAAAATTACCTGTTTGATCTATTCGCTGCTCACAACAAATGTTGCCAGTTTTAAGATCATTTCGTTATGTGGAACGCATACTTTGTAGACACGTTTCCATAGTCCGTTTGAATCCTGCTGTGCGAAGCTGACTGTGCATGTGCTTGAGATATATGCACGGAACGCTGCGGAATGCTTTATATACTTCGCTGCCGATCTGCCAAGACCTTCGGGGCCGAGTTGTTAGCCCGAAGCCGGTCGTGAGCGACACCACCTGGAGATGCGGCCAACCCGGACCAAACTGAGCGTTGGTCTGCCCGCTGGTGGCCGCTCGTCTGTCGGTACCAATATCGGAATGCATTCACCCAGAATCGAGCCATGAACGCCAAGTCGTCTGTTTTTAGACCTTTGTCCCGTCGTTTGGTGGGATAATCCCGAAGTAGACTTGTGGAGACATTTAACCTGAACCGAGCCATAAGGAACACGGTCATCATATCTTTTTTAGTTGAAAAAGTCCTTCAATATCGGGCAACCAGTAACGATTCTCTCCACGCTCACAATGCTAAGTACAAAGCGTGGCCGGAATGCATCCGGATCTCTCCAAGGACAATGAACACATGAACACATGAACACATGAACACATCTCGAACACATGAAATGACGTCATGGCGAGGCTCTTACCGTTGGCTGTAGAAGGGCCACTGCCCCACTCCCGACAATGGGCATGGTAGGGTGGCCTAGAGCTTGACCCAGCGCAGCATCGATCCAGCTCGGGTCTAATGCCTTGCATTTCAAAATATTGCGCTCTATGGAGCGGATCATTGCTTGCTGTCCGATTTCGACGGGTTCGCTGGAGTCCTTGTGGCCCGTTATGAATCTAAGGTTTTAAAAGATTAACCCGGCAAAATAACGTGACGAGGAGACTGGCAACGGTGGTACAGTCAGGGACGCAACTTCTCAGCAGGCATGCAATGTGAAAATATTGCATGCAAGTTACTGTCACGGACAAACCACAAGGGTGGAGTTACCAGTATTAGTATGTGCAATCAGCATCAAATACCAGTACAAATAGCGTTCTTATTACAAAACTGACGGCAAAGCGTCTTCCAGCTGGCAAATGAAGCGGCATTTTTCATCTATGAAAACTATTGGCAATTCGTTAGCAAGCGATAGTAGTCACCTGAATTAGCTGACACGAGACTCCAGTTAGATGAGCCCGAGAATAATCCTTTGCAGCACATCCACATGTAGCGCTAGCACATGTAGCACTGCCAGCTCCGGTGATCGCACGCCCCCAGCCCTTGCCTTATATCTCCTCCCCATTTGCCTTATATGTCCGTTGAAAAGGCCGTTTAGTACAGTTTCATTTGTTATATAGGCTCATCCAGGGTGCTCTTGTTAACGATTTTGCGTAATCTTTCTTCTGTACGTGTCAGATCACACCGTTCTGCAAAAATTTATTCTCTGCGCCTTGGGCGGCCGTTGATGAACGAAAAACACTTACTTCGTTGATCGCAGCCGGTCGTTTTACCGAGATTATGTATTACACCACATCCTAAGATTTTTAAAACAAAATTTAAAAGTTTAAAAACAAAAACAGTGCAGCTCTACATTGGGTTTAAAGAGAAAGGCACTTCAACCTTCCCGGCAATTTGGGAATCGAAAAATGATAAAGAAGTTTTGTAACAGGAAAGACGCAAATTGCAGTGACCAAAATCCGTACAAAAGTCAAAATCCGGGATTCCTGGGTAGGTTGGGTCAACCTTATCGGCTCAGCTTCCCGCCCCAACCGATTTTAGAAAGCGACACACCTGTGTGCCGTTAGTCAGTCAAGCCGCACGCCTGAGTAACGAGAAGTACGGAGCTCGATTCCCCGCGGTATCCGCTGTTCCTACCAAGGTGAGACACAGGCGACGCCATGTAGCATCAGCAGCCGAGTGCCCCGTAAAGCCGCAAGTGGACTCCCACAACTGAAAGAGAATGTTTTGAAAAAGAAAGTCGAAAAGACTGCTGCAGACAACACAGTCTCTCTATTTAGTAGGCATGCTCCTCAAAACGTCATCGTTGAATGCATCATCTACAAAACCTTCTACAAAATTGATGGAGAGCCAATTAATGACCGTTATATCTTGATATCGTGCTCACGAACGCCAGAACAAGAACGAACAACTCGACCATTATTTTTTTCTCGGCCCTGATCGCCGCATAGCTCAAGGAAGGGCAGAACTTCAATGACGTTATTTTGACGCCATGGATGCCAAGGTGACCTTGTCATATCCTCTCCGAAATAGTTTCACCACTCTCGCGGCGCATTCACACTGAATGGTCTTCAAGATGGTTATTTCAGTTTAAAATCCCATACAAATGGTGAACACTCCGCTGAAATATATTTATATTTCCTTCTCTCCCTCTCTCCCTCTGTCCATTCCTTCCTTACCCCCCCCCCCCTCACACTCCCTCTCAACGCGCTTCCTTCCTCTATTCATTTTTCCCTGCCACTCCCTCTGTCTGTCTGTCTGTCTGTCTGTCTGTCTGTCTGTCTGTCTGTCTGTCTGTCTGTCTGTCTGTCTGTCTGTCTGTCTGTCTGTCTGTCTGTCTGTCTGTCTGTCTGTCTGTCTGTCTGTCTGTC